TTTTTTGAAAGATTTTATTTATTTTCAGAGAGAGAGGAGAGGGAGAAAGAAGAGGGGAGAGAAACATCCATTGGTTGCCTCTCATTCACCCCCAGCTGGGGACCTGGCCCACAACCCCGGCAAGTGACCCAACAGGTAATTGAACCAGTTACCTTTCAGTTCACAGGCCAGCGTTCAGTCCACTGAGCCACACCAGCCAGGGCTCTAACAGATTTTTTAAACTGCTTTATATATATTATAACACCCCCTTCACGGTGACGCCGATTTCTCCATGTAGTTCTCTAAATTTTTGCTTCATATTTTTTGAAGTTATCTTGCTCAGGACATAGGAACTTGAACAATGAACCTGACCTTATATCATTCTGTAGTGATCTTTGTTCAAAAACAAAATGTTACTAGAGTATGAAATGTTACTACAGGAGCTTCCTTTTGGTACTTCTCTGATATCTCTAGGTTCTCAAAATTCCCGTATCTTTGTTTTAGATACATTTCTTTAAGAAGCATATAATGGATTGTTAAAAATCTGGTCTTGTGACTCCAGATTTTTCACAAGAGTTCAATCCATTTACAATTGGAATTGTCACTACCATATTATTTAGTGCTTGAATACCCAACTTACTTTCTCTCCTGTGTCTTTGGGTTTTTTAAATTTTTTTCCCTTTTGCCAACTCAACATATACTGCTGAAACAGACATTAAATTGTTTCTCTTACAGGCAGCTCTTCAAATTAAGTTCATACTTAATTACATCTAAAGTTGGTCCACATCTTAAATCTCCTTCAGAATAAAACAAGATCTTAAGACTAATTATCCTTTCAATCACCAACCTTACGAGGTCTGTCAGAAGGTATCCAGCCATGTAATACGAAAGAGACATTTATTGAAGATGATGCAAGACACACTGTGCACAGGACAATGATGCCTCAGTCCCTTCAAAGAAGGCACCTTGGGACCTCACACAGCTCTCCCAGCATCTCTTCCATGGGTGAAAACACCCTGCAAAATCCTTTGTTGGACTCGCCATCAGCTGCCCTGTGGTGTTTTCCTGAACCTCATCGACAGTCTGAAATCTCTTCCCTTTCAAAGGCGATTTTAGTTTTGGGAGAAGCCAGAAGTCCCGGAGCGCCCAGTCTGGGCTGTTACAGGAGCTAAGTCAGCTGGGTCACTGATCTTTGCCGACTGCAGCCCGTACACGCTGGACAATCTGTGTTCCGCTTGTGGCAGGCCTTCCAGAACGTGGCTCACTTTCGACAGATTCTCAACCATCTTGGAAGTGCTTCTGCCACACTTTTATTTGCACTATATTCGTTCCATTGTCCCCCAAAGCCTCCTGAATCACCTGAATAGTTTCTGCGAAGGAATGGTCAAGCTTAACACAACATTTGGTGCAGACTCGTTGCTCTGATAGCTCAGTCATTTTGAATGCGACTGCCACACAGTGCACATGCTCGCTCAATGGAGTCTAGCGCCCTGACTAGTAGAGTGAAATTGTCATTGTTCACACATGCGCATTCCAGCCCACTCGCCTTGGCTGCCAGGTTACAGCAATGTCATGCACACTGTTCTTGTTACATTAGCAATGGCTGGGCTTTTTCCAGATAGAGCTTGTATATGCACCAGGCATACAGGCAAATAGGTTACCTAGAATTTTTACTTTGTGTTATCTTTTCCTCTAGCAAATTAGACACTATTGTTTTATACTATCAATATTTCTTTAGATTTACTCAAGTGCTTACAATTTCCTTTACTCATAATTGCTTATTACATCTCAGACTTTCAGGGATAACTCTCCTCCTCCTTGAATTATGTCTTTTAGGAGTTCCATTAAATGAGGCAATTTTCGTGATAAGTTCTTTTTTTAAAATCTGAAAATGTCTTTCACTCTCATTCTTAGGTAATCCATATAGCAGAATGGTCTGAATCAAAAATTTTTGAATGATATTACTAATCTAGCATTTCATCATTGAAAGCTGAAAATGTATACATACAAAGGAAGGGATAAAGTAAGCATTATCTTAATTTTGTATAGCATTTCCCAGATGAATGTCTGAAATATCCTTTGTAGGCATTTGTTTTTACTAGAATCTCAAAACCATCCTGAGTTCACCTTTAAGAAAAAGTATTTCAGTACCCACTTTTTTTTATAGGCAAGTGGGTTAGATTTTCTAAAGTGTGTAATCACTCACTCTCATTATTCTTTTGATTCTATCCAGCATGCCTGTAACTGCTCCCTGTGTAACCTAGGATGTGTGACTTCAATCTCTTTCTTGTTAAGCCTGATTCTTTTTACAGCTATTAAAACTTCTATAGTGTTTAAGAAATCCCATTGGTATAACTTTTAGTTTAAAAGAATTTTTTGTTAACCAGGATTCTTAATTACTTCCAGCATGTTGGATAACAAATCTTTTAAAGATAACGAAGTCTTTGGTCTAACACATTAATATATAATTGATAATTTAAGCTAATATAAAAGTTCATTATTTTTTAATCATGTTCCCGAAGAGTAAGTTATAAATCTGTGAATAACTGTTCATTAAATTAACACTTCATTTATATAGAGAAAAATGCTGTCATAGTCAAGGCTGGAATTCTGCTAAGAGTCGCTAAGTTTTCATATACGTCTGTGAATCACACATGCATCCACCACGCAGACCTTGATAGGGAAGGTAATGGAATTGTCATCTCTTAACAGTGAAAAGAAGTAGTCTAGAATAGAGCACCAGACTCTCAAATCTTTTTTTTTTCAATTTTAATTTGTTTATTTTTAGTGAGGGGTGAAGGGAGGGAGAAGGGAGGGAAAGAAACATCCATGTGTGGTTGCCCCTCATGCGCCCCCCACTGGGGACCTGGCCTGTAACCCAGGCCTGTGCCCTGACTGGGAATCAAACCGGCGACCCCTTGGTTCGCAGGCCGGTGCTCAGCCCACTGAGCCACACCAGCCGGGGCCGGACTCTCAATCTTAATGATCACACGGTCTTACCAGGATTTGGCAACATAAGCAGATCCCCCCTGAAATACAAATATTTTCCAATTACGTATGTGTGACACATAGCGCATGTAACAACATACAAAAAAACAGAAGTTGAAAAGGATGCACTATAGAGAAGATAGGTATTTTAAAATGTCTGAAATTACATGAACGGCAAAAGAACACTTATCGAGGGCAGATCGGTGTGCGGATGTGAACGACCGCAACGGGACCCGACGCAATGGCACCGACTGCCAAGGAGGCCGCGTCACTCTTCCTGTCACGACGCACCGCGGCTGCGGGGCAAAGGTCGGGCGTGCAAGGGCTGCGAGGCTCATGGCTTACTACGCGCTGACAGGCCGGTCCCCCTCCCGCTGCGACCAAGGCAGCTCCTAGACGACGGCTGTCACTCTCCAGGGAGCCAGTCCTAGGAGGGCCCATGGCCGAGCGGGGAGGTGAGAAGGGAGGACGGAGGCAACGAACGGAGTCCGTGAATGGATTCCTGCTTCAGGCCACCGGCATCAGCCCACGGGGGGCACGTATTCACAGACCGAATCCCGAGCCTCCCCGGTCAAGCACTGCCCAGCCTGGCCCACCTGTGGCTCAGCAGGATCTGGCATCCAAATGCCACGTGCAGAAGTCCTCAGGCCCTGGCCAGTGTGGCTCAGTTGGCTGGAGTGCTGTTCTGTAACTGAAAGGGCATGGGTTCGATCCCTAGGAGGGGTGTGTATAGGAGGCAACCGTTGATGTTTCTCTCCTCCCCGCTCTAAAGGCAATGAAAACTGTCCTCTGTGAGGAAGGAGGACTGGGAGGAGGAGGAGGAGGAGGGGGAGGAGGGAGAAGTCATCATCATCCTGAGGCTTTGTCAACGGCTGGCGCACTAGAGGCGGCCAGGGCACACGGAGGGGCACAGACGGAGACGCTACCTCGCTAGGCCTGTATCAGGAGAGCCATCAGCCTCTGGCTCGGTTTCTTTGCAGGGTTCTTTGTTTAATCTTTTTTAGATAAGCAAAGTCAGAGTTGAGGGTTTTAACTAAGTAGGTAACATACCCAGGAGCACACCCATGAGAACACCATGCCATTTCTCTCTCCATTCTCTGAGGACCCCTCAGATGTGGACGTGACCTAAGACAATCTGACGTAGAGATTGTATGAGTGCCAGGACCAACCTATCAAATATTGATATAATTTCACTTCTGCTTGCATTAAAATTGCCCCGCTCCGCCGCAATGCATCGCCTTCCGCGCCCCTTGAGGTGTGGGCACCCCACCTGGCCGACATCGGGCCAGAGCCCATGGAGCCTCACCCACTCGCAGCCAGAGGTGGTCCGCTTCACTTCCGGGTGTATGGGACCGTTCTTGCTACCGGTAGGTGAGAACATACTAATACCATGCAGTCCTAATAGAGTTTTGGCATTTGCCTATCACTTAACCGGGAGGAGATAAATATTTCAAAACTCTCTTCGCCGAATTCCTTGAGTGGTTATCTTACTTCCCTGTGTTTAAAAAATTACAGAAACCCAGCCATAATACACCACCACCTTGGAGTCAGATTAACATGCTCTGACCTTCCATAGCTCGTGGTGTGGAAGGCAGAAGGGTAGACTCCTTGTTTTCATTGCTTTTACAGAAGTAACAGCTCCATAGAAACATTTTCCAAAGTCACAGCTTCCCAAAGGAGTTACAGATGAGAAATTAGAAATGCAACCTTTCCTAAACACATCGCTGAGTTCCAAAAATGTAACATGAAGTTATAAAAGTCCATTTTATTTAGGCTAAAGTGACTATATTATTTATTTAGTTTTAAAACAACCTTAACATATAGTTTAATTTTTAGCATCACTTTGATTAATCTTCAACAATCCAGATACAGAATATTCCAAGATTTTACTGGGCTAGTTTAAGAAATCCATTCTGTGCAGAAATACTGGTAATTCTGTTAGAGTTTAAAACTTCAGAACTGAACCACTTTAGCCTATTAATGACTTTTTAAAGCTTGCATAGTAATGTCCTACAAGATTATTTCCATACACATCAACAAAATTCAACCCCACTTTCTCCAATAATGAAAGAGTGTTTCTTTACACAGTTACTCCTTAAATGACGTGACAGTAAAGAAAACTGGTGGGTGGCTTTAGACCCGTCTTTGGAGAAGAAGACCCTGCGTGTCACCAGCCGCCGCCAGGCCTCACAGAGGTAGGGCCTGTAGTCCCTGCTCGCATCGCCGTCGCCCAGGTGGAGGGGGGCCGCGGCGGCGCCTTCACCGGCGTCTGCGGCTCGCTGCATTATGCTCTGCGTGGTTGCCAAAAGCACCAAGCGGTGCTCGCGGACGAGTTTCTCTAGGAACTGGGAGCACTTCCTCAGAGGGGCCTCCTGCCACGTAAGGCTTTCTCCTCCGTTGGCTCGGTCTATCCAGTAAAAAGCCGACAAGCTATCCAAAATCAGAAGGCAGAGGGAGGGGCGGCTGCAGAACATGGTTTCCAGGGAGTGAAGTGTGAGCAGCAGCTGGGAGCTGCTACTGCAGAACACGAGAAAGAGCCGGCCCAGGCAGCGTTTTACTGTCTCCTCAGAGCTCTGCGAGAGCCTGTGCTCCAGAATTGTAACGAGCCGAAGCATATCGAAGTGGTAATCTGTGTCAACAAATAGGACTTCTATTTCCAGGCCACCTTCCGACTTTGGAAGTATGCATCGTGCTGTTACATGATACAGCATTTCTGTTTTTCCTGTTCCTTCTGGGCCATGAAATTCAAGAATATCACCTGTGTAAAATTTGAAAATGTCAGTCAAAATGCTGCAGCACAGTAAGGGTATAAATGGAAAGTCTGCAAAGATGTTTAAAAAGACACTCACTGGAATGTAAAAGAAAATCTAAATCACTCGCCAAAATGGATCTGTAGGAACAACGGCAAGTCGGTCCGTCACTGTTTGAAAGCAGTACGACAAGGCTGACCGCACCTCGGGGGCTTTCCCGGGGAGGTGGGGGTGCCACACACGCACACTTAACCTGGTGGCGTGGAGAGGTAAGAATAAAGGGCCACAGACCCAGGGCCGTCCAAAGCTCTACTGCTTACTAAGGGGCATGCTATTTCTAGTAATTGATCACCCAGTGTCCAGTCTCTCCTTTTCCCTTAAATATAAAAACCCCCGTTGGGGAAGGCCATGTGCCCAACTTAAAAACTATTTTTCTTCCTCTCCCTGGCAGAGAGCGGCCACCGGGTGTCTTAGCTGCAGCCAGCGAGACTCGCGGGGAGGTCTGTTGGGACTTCCGGGGGGAAGCGGCAGCAGAAGGCAGTGAGGAGGACAGGCGGGCCCTGCGGCGGGCGGAGCTGGGGACAGGAGGTGCCCAGGGCTCTGGCCACAACCTTCATCCCGCTTCTGATGTGAGGGGGAGAGGCCTCTAGGGGCAAGCGGCTAGGCTGGACATCTGTCACGTGCCGGTGAAATGATCCCCAACCAGGGTTTCTCCCTGTTACAGGCACTGTGGGTGGAGCTAGTCTTGACCTTGCTGTTTCCCACCCACAAGGTGGTGGGTGCATGGCCCTCAGGCCTCAAACGCCAGGAACGCCCACGCCCTCCGCTGAACACCTCCCAGCGGGCCCTCCCTGCTGTGCACGCTCTCCTGAACGGTGGCCCTTAGACCCGCGCCTGCGCTGCGCCCTGCTCCCCGGCATCGGCATCGCAAACCCAAACGCACTGCCACCGCGCTGAGTGTGCAGGAGCCCAATGCCCCTGCCTCGGCTCCAGCAGCTCTTTCACTGAGGACCGCGGGAACCGAGGAGACGCCCGGGGACCCGTCCTGCCTGCAGGGCTTTACAAACACACTCAGAACAGTGGCCTCCAACTCCTGCTAAAATGGAAACTTGCCAAAGCTACTGCCATTCAATTTACAGCTGAAGGACTGGACAGAAAACACTGTGTTGGAATGCAGATTCTTAGGCCTCAGACACAGGACGCAGTCTGAGAAGCCAGTTACTTTATTTCCTGTTATGACTAATAAACCATTCTATGTTGGAACAGTCGCAAATAATGCGTAAAAAATCCAGCAAAGTGCCACTGTACTGTATTTAAGGTGGCAGAAAACCAGCCAATCCCTTCAACGGTCTTAAACACAATTTACAATGCATAATTTACATTAAAAAGACTCCCCTCCAAAGAGGCCAGGAGTGAGACTATTTCCACATCAACAATCGCTCATGGACGCTCTTATTAAAAGTTAACGCAGTGACTAAAACTATACGCAGCCCAGATGTTCACTTTACTCTCTCCAACCACATTACTGGGGAGCCAAGCTGCCCCCGAAAAAAAGTCTTTCACAGCCACGTAACAAAGGAGATCAAACTACACACACTAGATGAAGAAATGCCGATACAGAAGCAACATCGATGGCAGCGAAGGAAAGTGGAACGCACGACTCGGCAAGCCGAGCGGGACAGAGGTTGGCGGGGCACAGCAGGCAGCCGGCGCCACAGCCCGGCGCTGCTCTCCCGGGCAGCAGGCGGACTCGGCCCATGGGCCGCAGTGGGCCTTCCCAGGGCATCTCAGAGGAAAAGCCCTTCTTCACGCTGCCACATTGGGCCCCAATAACACCATCAAGGTAGGAAAAGCAAATTTCTTCATTTCCCATGATCGCATTTATTGTGCTGCATACAAGGGCAGGGCGCCCCCAAAAACTGGAATTACCTTCTGGAGCGCGGGCCCCTCGTAGGACAGGCGTCCCCCACAGGGTGCGTGTTCTGGGAACCGATCTGTGTCAGCGCACCAGCTGGCGCTGTTGCGAGAGGCTGCGTTCATCCTCAGTGAATTTGTTTGAAGACTTTTCCAACACAATTGCCCATTTCATGACGGGTGATTTGCAAGTGCATCTGCCCACACCATGCTGAGTGTTCAGCAGTTTATGGCCAAAAAATGGAAGGATCCTGTGCCCCACCCTCCCAATTCTTGCTCTGAGCAGCTTTTGTTTCCCTGGATGAAAAGAGTCCTCAAACGGAAACGTTCTGCGGATGTGGAAGAGGTGAAACAAAAAACAGCAGAAGCGCCAAAAGGCATCAAAATCGCTAAACTCAACAACTGTTTTGAGCAGTGGGAAAAACATCTCGGTAGGTGCCCTGCCTCAAATGGAGAGGCCTTGGGAGGTGACTGACGTTCAAACATGTCAGAATGAATGCACAGTTTTCATAAATAAATTCTGGTTTGGGGGGGCTGGCTACTTTAAGTTTGGGACTTGGATGTGCTAGCCCCGCACAAAACACAGGACCCTTTTCATTGGATGCCTTTCCTTTTAAGGACTTCCGGAGAGACAGCTGAAGAATGGAGACAGAGGTCCTGGTTAGGCGAGGATGCCAGGCCCAGAAGTCAGGTTTCCGAAAGGAAGCAGAGTCGCAGGTTGGGGTGGCCGGGCGGCGGTGTCAGCGGGTCCGGCAGGTGTGCGTGCCCGCGACGAAGGCCCGGAACAAGAGGCCTCAAGCGGGAGCCGACGCACAAGCAGGAACCCGTGCCCGGGGCCGGTCCCGCCCCTCCTGCTGTCCCGGCCCAGGGGCAGTGACTGGATTCGGCCAGGTCTTCGGCCCTGCGCTGACCCGAAGGGGTGGGGAGGTTCCCAAGTCCCCACCGGCAGGCTCGGAAGTGCCCGCACGCGGCGAGCACCGTCGGCCCTCTCCGTTCACACCATTCGCGTAAACACCCCAGCGCGGGTTTGCCTTCCAAAGCGGCCGCGCGGAGATCTGCCTCTAGTCCTCACGCACACAGACGTCCTGTCGCCACGAGGGGCTAAGACTTGAGAGTAAACTTAAGATGAAGAATGGGAAGCCAAAAACTCAATTCTCGGGATAAGCATAAACAAAACTTTAATAGATCATCAGAAAAACAAGATAGAATGCACATTAAAAAAAAAAGGTCCAAGAAAATGAAGTAGTACTAAATACTAATAAAAGCAGCAGCAAAGTTCTAAAAGTGAAAAAAATGGAAGAGGAGAGACAGGGAACAGACCCCTGAACCGGTTCCGGACAGTGACCTTGAAGCAGTGAACGTGCAAACACACATTTCACCTAAGTAGCACCCCGAGAACCAGACGTCAAGCACTGAGATCCTGGGGACCCAGCAGGTGAGTGGTTCGGGGTGGGGGTGTGTTACAAAAGGGTCGAATGGCTTATACTCGTTTACTAAGTAAAAGAATTTAAGAGCAGTTTCATGAGGCTGGAGAGTCAAACAAGGATAATTTAAGGTAAGAAAAATGTAACACATTCTGAAGTAAAAGGGAAGGGACTCTACAGAGAAATAAAAATAAGTGATGTTGATCAGAGGGTAACTGTGACACATGTCTGGGTATCTGTGGAACTCTCACAACGGCGGGGGCGGGGGAGATGACATTTCGCCAAGGATTTTCTTAGAGACGGGGCGGTGCTCATAACACCTTTCAGCGTAACTTGAAAGAATAATTCTTCGAGTGGGCTTTCCTACACGGTGGACGAGGCCTTCCACACCCATACGTCAACTGAAAAACAGCTGAGGTAGTATATGCTTTCCTTACCTCCTTGGTTTGGCACGGATAAAACTGAGACAGAGTTTAAGGTTAGGTCCTCGGCTGAGAGATTATTAGGGCCCTGGCTGGTGTGGCACAGTGGATTGAGTGCTGGCCTGCGAAGCGAAAAACCACCAGTTCAACTCCCAGTCAGGGCACACGCCTGGTATGCTGGCCAGGTCCCTGGTTAGGGACCTGAGAGAGGCAACTGATTCGATGTTTCTCCCCTTCTCTGTCTCCTGACCTTTCCCCTCTCTCTAAAACTAAATAGATAAAAAGACATATAAAAACACTCTTCACCTTCTTTAGATAGCAAAGCAGGTAAAAAGGTCATTTATAAAAATGGGGGAAGTAAAATTGCAAATTTGTAAATTACACATATTATCATTAATGTCCTTGAACTGAGTGAACTGAAATCAGTTTCACTGTTTTATAAACATTTACTACCTAATCATAAGATCAAAAATCATACTCAAACATTATGCTCCACAGAGGGGACACAGACCTTCTAAATGTATTTGAAATCACTAGCTCATGTATTTCTGTGAGCTGTTACCAAAAAAATGCACCCTTGCCAAGTGAAAGTACTGAGTATGACAATTTGTAGTAAACAAACAACAACAACAAACCGCCACCTGTACCCCACCCCAAAAAAACCCTGTAGAGTTCGGCACCTGGAAAACTAAAGGCAATCGGGAAACCTGGACAGGCCGGCGCGGGCAGTTCCGCTCACGACACAGCGCCGGAGAGGGTTTGGGCGACAGACTGTCAGAGTACCGTTATGCATCTAAAGATCCTTCAAAACAAGGAAAAGAAAAAACAGCCTAGAAATACATCATCTCGGTACCAAACTACTAATGCTATAACAAATATGTTGACTTGCAAATTATAATCATTATGGTACTGAAGAGGTACTATACTGGAGTATGGTACCAAATCACTATTATCCAAAAAAAGCATTAAAAATATGTTAACAACAGCATTAGAGACGCCTATTACCCTAAATCTCTTGTTGCTTCTACTCCAGCTTCCCTAAAATAATTTCTGATAAAGTACCGTCATTAAGTAATCTTTATAATCCCACTTTTATGTCTGCTATTGCTCCAAGTATTCATTGAACTAGCCTAACAGCTTTAAGACCTATGCGAGTTTTGAGTAAGCTTCGTTAGTGACTGAACAAGATGGTGTTTTCAAAGTTTCCACAGCCCTGGCTGGCAGGCTCAGTTGGATGGAGCACCATCCCAAGCACCAAAAGGTCGTGGGTTTGATCCCTGGTAGGGCCAGGAGGCCACCGATTGATGCTTCTCTCTCACATCACCATTTCTCTCTCTCCCTTCCTCTCTCTCTCAAATCAATAAGCATATCCTTGAGTGAGGATAAAAAAAATTAAAATAAAAAAAGTTTCTATAAATGTAATATTCAAATGTATAAGTTGAGCTGCAAACCCATGTTTCAAGGTCAATTTCATAAGCTTCAACTTATCCTTTCCTTTTGTTTAACAGGTTTGGTCAAGATTTGTCTTTTACTACTGATAATTTAGAATTTTGTTTGCTAATAGATCTGCTCTACAAGAAATATTAAAGGGAATCCTTCAGACTGAATTAGAGGACAGTAGATTGTAACTTCAATCCAACTGAGTTAATAAAGAGCACAAAAAATGTAACTACACAAGCAAATAACAAAAACAGTATAAATATGGTTCATATTTGCAATTTTTTCGTCCGATTTAAGAAACAATTCCAATTATATTAAGTTTTAAATGTTTATGGGCATATACCATAGGAATGTATAATTTGTAACAGCACAAAGGAATGGAGATATAGTAGAAAAGTTTTTATAAAATACTGAAATTAAGATGGTTTTAATCCAAACTAAATTGTTATAAATTCAGACGTTACTTGTAATCCTCAAGGACAATAGTAAAATAACTTATCTTGACTTTTTTAAAAAGATTGTACTTATTTACTTATTTTTGAGAGAGGGGAAGGGAGGGAAAAAGAGAGAGAGAGAGAGAAACATGACTGGCGGCCTCTGGCACACACCCCGACCACGGACCGAACCTGCGGCCCTGGCCAGGAACTGAACTGGTGACCTTTTGCTCCGTGGTATGACGTCCAACCACTGAGCCATGCTGGTCAATTTTTTTAAAAAGTAAAAACAATAGGAAGGAATTTAAATAGTACACTAGAAAATATCTAGTAAACACAAAAGACAGTAAAGGAGGACTAGAGAAACAAAACACATGTAAGACATAAAACACATGTAAGACAGCAAAACGGCAGTTCCAAGCCCTACCTGATTGGTAGATTCACTAACTATAAATGGTTTAAACAGTCCCAACAGAAGGCGGAGATCCACAGAACGGAATAAAAGATAGGACTACGGGCTGTCTACACTGGGCACAGGTCACATGCCACGGTGCAAACACGTTGACACTAAGAGAAACAGACATGCGGTGCAAATGGGAACCAAAGCAGTGGCAGCGGCCGTCCTCTGAGCAGACAAAATATACTTTTAGACAAAAACTGTTATTAGAGACAAGGAAAGGTGTTTTTTACTGTAAAAGACAATGGGCCATTTTCACGTGCATAGTTCACCAGTGTTAAGTGTATCCACACCTCCAGAACTTTCCATCTTGCCAACTGTGTCTCTTGAACACGCCCCTTTCCTCCTCCTCTGGCCCAGCCCTTGGAAACCACCACCCTACTTTTCATTTCTACAGATCTGACTGTTTTGGACACCTCATGGAAGTGGAATCGCGTAAGTATTTTTCTTGTAGCGACTGGCGCATTTCACTTAGCCCGTCCTCATGGTTCCTCCATGCTGCGCCCTGTGGCCGGCCTTCCTTCCTCTCAACGGCTGAACTCCCCTAGACGTATTACCGCTGCTCGCTGATCCATTCATCCACTGAACATTGCGTTGCTACAATTGCTTAGCCACTGTGAATAGTGCTGCTATCAACATGGGCATGACAGTATCTCCTCAATATCGTGCTTTAAATTCTTTTGGATATGTACCCAGAAATAGAATTGTTGGATCACATGATCGTTCCATTTTTATGTTTTTGAGGAAATCCCATACTGTCTTCCATAACGGTTGCTTCATTTTGCAATCCTATCGGCAGTGCACAAGGGCCCCGACTTCCCCACGTCCTCGCCAACACTTCTTTTCTGTTTTTTGATAGCAGCCGTCCTGACAGGTGTGAGGTGACAAAGACCAACGAGGCAATCCGTCAATGAGATAAAATAAAAGCTTATTTGTGCCCAACAATACATGAAACCCCAAAGTGCAGAGAGCAACAGAACTAAAAAAAGGAGACAATTCAACAACAACAGTTGAAAACTTTAGTACCCCACTTTCAATAATGGATAGAACAACTAGTCAGGAGGTCGGCACAGAAACAGAAGACTTGAATAACACTAGAAACCCACTAGAACTAAGAGAAGTCAGGACCACACTTGACCCAATTACAGCAGAATACACTACCTTCTCAAGCGCACACGGGACACTTTCTGGGGTCAACCATATGTTTGGCCATAAGAAAGTCTCAATAATTTAAGAAGGCTGAAGTCACAGATGGTCTCTGATCGGCAAACAATGAAAATAGAAGTCAGTAACAAGAAAAGCTGTAAATCTTCTTGACCCTGGTGTAGGCAATGGCTTCTTAACTATACCAAACCCGTAAATAAGAACAAAAAGAGAAACCCAGATAAACCGGACTTGATCAAAATGAGTAACTTCGGGCCCCGCCGGGCAGCCCCGTCGGTTAGGGCGCTGTGCTGCCACGCCAAGGCTGTGGGCCTGGCCTTGGGTCAGGGCGCACACAAGAATCAACCAATGATGCCTCGGTGAGCGGGACAACAAATCAACGTTCCCCCCACCCCAACTCTCTAAAATATCAATTTAAACAATTTATACTTTTATGCTTTAATGAATACCATCAAGACAACCCACAAAATGTAAAAACAAAATATTTGCAAATTACACATTTGATAAGAGACTTACATCTAGCATATATAAAGGACTCTGACAACTCAATAGCAAAAAGACAATCCAATTTGTAAAACGGGCAAAAGATCTGACATTTCTCCAAATTACATATACAAACTGCTAGTAAGCACATGCAAAGATGTTTAACATCACTAGCCCCAGGGAAATGTAATCAAAATCACAATGAGCTATCACTTCATACTCACAAGGAAAAACTATAATCAAAAAGCCAAACGAAAATGTTTGTTTGCAAAATGTGGGGAGATTGGAACCATCATACATTTCATTGCTGGTGGCAAGTAAAACGCGCAGCTGCTTTGGAAACCCAGTCTGGCAGTTCCATCAAAGGTTAAACACAGAGCTACCACGCAGCCTGGCAGTCCCCCTCGGCGGCACAACCCCGGAGAGCTGGAAACATACATCCACTGAAAAACGTGTACACAAATAATGAAAGCCCTGGCTGGTGTGGCTCAGTGGAAGGAACGCCGGCCTGTGAACTGAAAGGTCGTTGGTTTGATTCCTAGTCAGGGCACAGGCCTGGGTTGGGGGCCAGGACCCCGTTGGGGGCGTGAGAGAGGCAACCTATTGATGTGTCTCTTGCACATCGATGTTTCTCTCCCTCTTTCTCCCTCCCTTCCCCTCTCTCTAAAAGCAAATAAATAAAATCTTTAAAAAATAAAATCTAAAAAAAAAAAAGTAATTGTCGCATCATTCGTAACAGCCAAAACGTAGAAACAACTCAAACGTCCATCACCTGATGAGCGGCTAAACAAAACGTGGTACATGCATGCGACAGACGACCGTTCAACAATAAAACGGAGCAAACTACTGAGGCACCTGGAAAAGAGGATGCAAAGAAAAGGAAACCAGTCACAGAAGACCACATGCTGTGCGGTCCCAACGACATGAAACGTCCAGAAGGGAAAACCGGCAGGGGTCGGAAAGCAGGTGAGCAGCGGCGCAGGGCGCAGGGGCGTGGGGAGAAGCGCGAAGAGACCGCAACAGGCCAAGGTCCCCACGGGGCGGGCGGGTGTCCCGGGGGCGGCTGCGAGGGGGGCTGCGTTGCCGCGTGAATACGGACAACCGCTCGCTGACACCGACCGCGGGCGAACCGCATCTCCGTGAAACCGTCACACTTAAAAAAAACCACCCCAGCACATTCCCGCTTCCTAGGTTCCCCTTGGGAAGCCGTGCTAACGAACAGGTAGGTACGTGTTTTCCCGACTTTAGAAACATGGACAGGACAACAGGGCACCGAAGTCTTTCCGGCGACTCCCAAACTTCTAAGGAGTAAAAAATAACTCCAAAATCCCCACAAATGTGGTGTGTTGGGGTAAAAGAGGTCAGTTCATGCTGAAGGCCAAGCTTCGCCTCACTGGACGCGGACAAGAAAGGCTCGAAGGTGTCTGTCGGGACCCGGGCCCAGTGTTTAGGGTTTCCCCAGAGCCTCCTGCGGGACAATGGGAACACCCTGGAAAAAACACTCGTGTTCCAAAACTTAACATCTGCCCCGATATTCTGAGGTGGTTTTTACCATGCACAGGTGAGTCGTCATCAGCAAACAGACACGGTTCCATTTCTTTCAAGGACCTTCTGCCTTCAAGCCGGGCAAGGAGCTTCAGAAGAAAAAACAAGAGAGAAGGAAACGTCATTACCTAAAAATTCAAAATCCCCCCAAATCCACAGTTATATAATTTTCCGAGAGTCTATAAAAAAGGCGTTTCATAATTTTGAGGACTTGGAAGACATTCTAAAGTAGGAAATATAATTGAGGAGAAAAGTTGTGTTCACTTATCCAGCAGTGAGTTCGTTTTGTTTCTACACCAAATACTGCAGGCAGAGTCCCTGCCCGCAAGGGAGCCAGGGCGCGGGCTGAGACACAGGAGCAGCCACCGACCGAAGGCGTCCACCCTCCTGAGGCATCGTCTTCCCCTGCACTTCCGACCCTTGTTACACAGGCGTCAGCTGTTAATTCATCTGCCCTTAGGTTGTGGGCTCCTCGCCTACAGGGGGCTGGAGGCAACGCCCCCCCCCGGGGCTCCTCCCTGAGCCAGGCCAGGGGAGCGAGGCGGCCAGTGCAGAGGCTGCCGACAGACCCGCGCGCGGACCGGACCTGCGGGAGCTCACAGCCCAAAACCCGCAGGAGTCGGAGCGCCGCGGGTCCGAGCGGCCGCGTGCGGGAGCCGCTCTGCGCCTGCGCGCAGAGCGAGGGCTGTAAAACCCGCGGAGAGCCGTGTGCAAATCAAGTCGGGGCGCCAGGAGCGGCCTGCGGGGTCACTACCTGAGCCCGGGGTTTCTCATCAGTAGGGATAACGAACAGCACTCCCTCCCGAGGGGCGCGCCCCCACCTTTCTGCCCCCACCTGCACGCGGCTCCTGAACTCTCAGGGTCCCCGATGATGGGCAGCGGCAGCTCGTCCCGGGCTCACCCCCTGACTCTGCCTCTCTGACTTTCCAGGGAGCCAAGGCAGCCCACCTGGGCTCTCTCCTGTTGCTTCTTCCGTCCTAAGCCCTTCCTTGTTTCACTGTCCCCAGATTTAACATACTCTTAAAAAAAAAGAAACAAAACAAAAAACAGTGCTTGGCACCAATTTTCAAACAGGTCATGTGGGTGGCTGGCCAGACGGACCCAGGCGGGAGGCGGGCCTGGCGCGCAGGCTGCGGCGGCTGCAGCAGCCCGGAGGAGGGCCTGCGCCCACACTGGCGTCAGGCGGCAGCAAGCGGGACGCAGGGCTGGCTGGGGTACCGGTGGAAATGGGCTCAAAGCCGATTCTCAGGTTTCTGAACGAGCGCAGCCGGGACAGCCCTTCCGCCCGGCCCAGGAACGAGCGCCCCGCAAATGGGAAGGAGAGCTACGACGCTGAGCGCCTCTGCGCCCGAAGCAAAAGCTCCGAGGAGATTCCCTGAAGTGACAGGGAGGTCCCACACCTTAACTGGCAAGTATCTGTGAACGTCTATTATGTACCAAGCACCATGACAACTACAAGGATGAAGACGACAATCAGCCTGCCCGCAAAGGTCTGGCAGGCCAGGCCATCAAGATGAGGTTAGGTGACAAATCGAGGCAGCCTGCCAGCTGCACTGGAGGACGTGGGCCCACCCAGGTCTAGCTGCTCTCGTGCTGCGGCCCCAGGGCCACCCTGAACCTTTTCTAAGGAAAGAAAGCCAGCCGTTACTGCTACCAAGAATTCATCGAGTGCTGACTGCGCAGAGAAAGCTGTGCCCCGTGAAAGGGCACAAAGGGAGGAGCCCGCCTCCCCGGGGCCGAGCTAGAGGGGACCGGAGAAATCGTGGTCTCCGCCCTCGCGCACAACAGGAGCAGCCAAGGTTTAGTAGCTGATCCAGAGTCACAAAGTCTCTCCCTGGCAGAGCCAAGACCAGAAGCTGGGTCCCTGAATCTCTAGCCCAGCGTTCTCCATCTCCGCCTCCAAAATCAGGACATTAGAAAATTTCTGGAAGATCGCAAAAACAAATTCACCTTGGGAGACGACACTCGGGGCGGGGAAGTTTCCTACTTTCCACTTTCACACTTTCTCTCATAGGCATGTACTACTTTAATAATAAATATAATGGCATGATTATAATAAAAGTTAATTAAAGAAAAAAAAGCAGACCGTATTCTGTATGTGGCAACCAAAACTGGACACCTTCTTATTTTCATCAGTTATTGTTAAATTCAAGGCACATTACCATTTTTAAGACAATATAAACTACACTATTTAATAACTGTGTGTAAACAAAGCCATTAGGTGGGTGATACCAAAATAGTGCCAAAAATCACTGTGAATCTGTTCTATCAAAGAGAAATAAATGTAAAAAAACTCCATTCCTACAGTACAAAAACAAGGTAAAAACGGGTCATTTTATTGTAAGCTGAATTCAAATGCTTGTCTTTAAATCGAGGGCTCGCTAGTTTTCTCCTCTCTCTCTGGCCCACAATATACTGCAACCCTAGGATCTGTGAAAATATCCTTAGCAGCTTTGTTTTCCTGAAAGAGCAGGTATGAAAAGTCTTTTCTGCACTATTGACAAGATGTGGGAGAGGTTTCCTATTTCACAAAGGGGTAATCCTAGGGAATTACAATCGTAAGGTAGCTTATTTCGTTCCTTGGGAAATTTTCTGACTCCAGCCACCTTTCTCAGTACAATGGCTCCAAGTAGAATCCCTAAAGCAGACTAATGCTCTCAGAGAGAAACCATCCAAACAAATGAAGCACTTACAGGAAAAGAGACTTGCTTAGCAGGTTTTGTTAACAAAAAGAAAAAAACTAAAGCAGCGCCGATTGCGCGGCTGCCCGTTCTCCTCTCTCCAGCAGCTGCACTCCAAAGTGACAGGAGCGAGGCAAACGGGCTGCAGATCTGCAGACGGGAACGGCAGCCCCAGGATACGCGGCTGAATCCTCAGGTCAGTCATTTGACTGGGCCGGGCTCCCATTTTCTGGATTAGTTAGGCTTGTGCGGACTACAACAGCCGTCCGAGTGTAACCTGCGTTTCGAATGATCATTTAACTAAGTAAGGTTGGAGCCACAGTGGTTCTCATACCAAGCAGCGGCTCTGCTCTCGAGGAGCAACGGTTGACAGACTCTGGCCGGCAGGCCAAAACCAAAGTAAAAATCCCAAAGACGGAGCCCGCCTGGCCTGCAACGCCTGCGTGTTATTCTATGCTGACTGGTTCGGGGCACTGCTTCTGAGAGCACGGGGCGGCCCCCGACTCCAGTGTGACGGAGGACTCTGTCTCAGAGGCCTGGCCGTGACTGCTTGCCTTCAGTAAAATTCCGCCATTGAAATGAACCTAACCACATCCTTAAAGGAGAGGACGTAGACGCCTAACATCGTGGCCTGCAAAATGGTTGTTCTGTCCATTAAATAGTGACTGGAATATTTATAGGCCCCGAGTGGTCCACTGGCCATGGAAAACGTGGCCACCGTGGGATGAACTCCCGCCTGATGACAATCGGGGACGCATGACCTCATCCTCATTCCCAAGTCCCACCGCTGCCCACCGTCCCCCTCTACAAGCCACCCACACGAATCCCTTGGGGGGCTCCATGTCCTTCTTCTGGTTGATTCCCTTGCGCACAGCCCTTTGCAGTAAACTCGACCTGCTTGATCTTGTACTGAGACAGGAGGGCCGGGCACTCAAGGTCCCGTAACAGCTCCTCCCCTCACCTACAGAAAAGGCCCTTCCTCATCCGCCTCTGCCTGTTTCTCAGAGCTCGGCTCCCAATGCCGCTCTCCACCACTGGCTCTGTCCCTCCTACATGCAATGGCTGGCAGGTCCCCTAAACGTGCCATGTACCTGCTTCTCTCTGCTTTGCATGCCACCCACTCCGTGCCAAACAGATGTCAAATGGTTCTTCCAAGCGCAACTCAGGGCCTCCTCCCAGTTAGTCTCCCATGATCTCCCCCCTCTAATGGACACGTTAATGACATACACGCCGGAATTATTAGGTCAGCCTCCCTTTTTGGTTCTTTGAATGGCACGAGTTGTTTCTTCTGTTTCTGGTTCCTATTCCTTAAACAGTGGGTGACACATAGCAAGTGCCTGACACTTGTTGGTTCAATTCCTGAACACATTTTTGCAGAACATCAGTTTATACCGGTCTGGAGATACTTAGGCAGGAAATGTTGCCGCCTGTTCCAGAACAGCGTCCATAAATGCTCCCACTGGCGACCGCTCCCTTTTCCGAGCGTCCCTCACCTAGTGACCGCTTCTGACCATCGTTAAATTGTGACAGGTTTGGGTCATAAACCTGACGAGTAAAGAGCTCGAATTTTACATCCATCTGTGCACGCAAAAAGTCGTGCACTACGGGAAAGAATGCGCTTTTATAGGCTACCTGTCGGGTACGACTGTGTCACTGGGGACGGCTCCTGGTACACAGGTTGGGGGTGCACACGTAGGGTGGAATGCACAGGTGTTGGGTGCAAAGGTGGGGTACATACGTGGGGGTGCACAGGCCTCGGGGGTGAACAGGTGGGCAGATGCACAGATTGGGTGGGGTACACAGGTAGGGTGCACAGATGTACGTGCAAAGGTGGGGTGCACGTATGCGGGATGAAGTTTGGGGAGTGCACGGGTCGACGGGTGCACAGGTTGGGTGGGGTGCACAGGTAGGGAGTGCAACGGTGAGGTGTGATCCACAGGCGGGGGTGCACAGGTCTGGGGAGTGCACAGGGAGTGGGGTGTACATGTGGCGGGACTCTAGGCGCAGACCGTGCAGCGTGCCCGGCCCTAAGCCGCGCTCCCAGCCAGCCCCACCTTCCGGTTCCCCTCTCCCGGTCCTATTTTCCTCTCGCTCTCACCCCGACGACTCTCACCTCCGTCCCAGACTCCGCCCTATGAAAATCGTTACACATCGCCCCGAAGGCTCGGCGCACCAGGCACTCAACTTTCCCGCCACCAGCGCCATTTACCGCGGACGACGCCGGCTCCGCCAGCCAGCCAGCCACTCAGGCGCGCCGACCCGCTGACCCGGACGCGAACGTGCGCGCAGCGCCCGCCCCCGGCCGGCCGGGGAGGAAATGGGCCTGCGCAGGAGGCGAGCGTGCGCAGGAGTGAGCATGCGCAGGAGGCGGGCATGCGCAGCAGGGCGTGGGGTCGGAGGACGCCAGACGCCATCGCGGAGCGAGACGCGGCGGGTGATTATCTTTTCTTCGTGAACTTCATTTCGTTTTCATTAGGTAAAACTAACAGCATGTACTTACACTTTTACTATTAACAAAACTTCCTGAGTAGCCGGCTTTTTTTGCTCATTGTGGGGTTAAAAAGCCTAGGGCCGGCTGTGTAGGCGACTCGTGGTGAATGCTAAGAAAAAAGACAAACGACCCTAAACTTAGAATTTTTAAACTATACGGGGCCTACGTATTTATCTCGTTCTTTTCGGAGGCAGAGGAATTCTGTTACTGTTGGTTATCAAGTGTTCAGTCGTTAAGATAGGTAGTAAGTAGACACGTAGATAGAAAAAGCTGGACGGATGTGGAGTATTTACCATAGCCCATGTTGTGGGAATTCAACGATAAGTAAGAGAGATGCCTGAATGGAGTTGTGTGATTTACTGGCGTGTGTGTTTTTAAAAAAAACTTTTCAACGGCTGTGTCTGTCGTTTTTTCCTTACCCTTGCCGGTGTGTACATAAGAAATGATGGTTATTATAACAGCAGTGATCGCTGACACCTTAGCGTCTGCCAGGCACGGGCCTGAGTGTTTAATATGTAATAACGCACGGCATCCCCACAGCCCTGGGAGGCAGGTGCGGTTATGATCCCCGTTTCACGGCCGTGGAAATGGAGCCACAGGTTTCGCCCTCGTGACGATGTTGACCAGGTTGTAGCGGATCAACACGTTAATGGGAAGTAGAAAGCAAAGACCATGAATATGGACAGTTCTTAAAAAACAAAACAACATTTGGCTCTGAAGGAAGGAGGTAACATGGGATCTAGAAAAATACATAGGATGAAGGATCTTTTTAGAAGGCGAAGGCTGGGGCGTGTTTGAATGCGGATGGGTAAGAGCCGTGGAGACTTCACGGTTAGAGTAGAGACCTCGAAGGCTGCTGGAGGGAGTGGGGGCCCGAGGAGGGAGGAGGCTGTGGGTCTAGGGATCGGTTTCAGGGGCGGCCTCTCGGCCCCTCCGAGCAGACAGGGCATCGACAGCGGGTGCAGGTGCAGGTGAGCGTGAGGCAGGGGAGGTCACCAGGCCTGCGGGGGTCTAGGCTGGGGGTTTCTGGGTTTTCTCTGAAGGAGAGAACCAGGTCGTAGAACTCCAGGTTCGGAGTCCTCTCGCGGAAGGATACCTGAACGAATGTTACCATCCATGGTCTCTGCTGAAAACTTCCCTTAGGAACGATTTCTGGTCCATCCTGGCGCCTGGAGCAGTGGGTTTCCTGGAACTGAAGCCCTACGCTGCTGCAGAGGATGGCCGCGGTTGCTTTAACTAGGCGCGTTTCCAGCAGCACACAGTGTCCGTAATCCCATTTAATACGCAGCACATACCAGTACTGTTTTTTTCATTGCACAAAGCTTTTCTTCCTGGAATTCCAAGATGAATTTTCTGAACTCCCTGTGGATTTTGATGTCAGATACACCTAGGCTCTTTGACCTGGATTTGTCCCTTATTACCGTGATACGTTTTACTTACCACCTTCAACCTTAGCTAACAAAGTGCGTCAATGACTAAGTAAAATAATGTTCTTAAAACAGCCAGCGCAGCGCCTAGCACAAAATACAGGTTCCCTTCCTGCCTCCTTATATTTCTTAGATTATCACCTAACATATATCCAAAGAGACAGTAAATACTCAATATCTGTCTCCGATTCACCGTGATGGCAGTGGTTAGGGCCCAGTTAAGAGAGGAGCGTTAGGTTTTTATCCCAGAGGGCTAACCATAAAGGGGGCTAAAACGTCTCTACGTACTAAGATACCATGCGCATACAAGATGGAAAATTTTTTTTTGCAATCCCTTTCAAGGACAATACTGTGTGTGAGGAGGGAAAGGCACTTGGAAAGAGGGTGAAAGAAACAGCAGAGGAGGCGTGACTGGCAGCAAGTCACCAGGCGGAGGTCAGAGGATTGTGAGGGGAAGCGAGGGGACCGGCTGGCACACCCCACCGACACTTGCTCACTCTGCCTCCTTCCACCCACTCCCCCACACAGAAGCAGGATTCTGAATCTGAAAAGAAGAGTGTTTAAAATGTGCCAAGTGACACTGTTGGCTCGCCCAAGCAAGTCCATAAATATTTCTCCAGTTCTCATGGTATTGATGATGGTGATGGCTTGAGCTAAAATCCTTTTCGAACTGGGATCCTGGATTTCCTGTCTTAAGTCAGCCTGCCTCTGTCTGTCTGTCTGTCTCTCTCTCATTCTGCAAGGTGTTAAAGTTGTTTAGTGAACTAAGCAAATCATGCCTACTGCCCATTGTGAAAGATTTGGGTTCCCTAAGCTGAAGTGTCCCCTTCAGTAATGCACCCGGCTTCAGGTTCAGGTGTTACCTGACGCTCTTCCCATTGCCCTGTGGTTCCTGGGATTCCAGTAACCACTGCAAGAAAATGCTGATGTTCTAGATGTTGCTGTTGCTGTGAGTAAGGCTAATGTGTCAGCTTGCGGGCTGTCTACATTGATAACCCACATGAAACAGTTTGTAACAGGGTAAATCAAACTTTTTGAATGAACAAAGCAGAAGCTCAGAAGTGTGAACGGGACTATAATGAGACAGGCAGGAAGACTATTTCAGAGTGGTGGCGGAGTGCAGCCAAAATAGATGAATGTGCTTTTCATTCTGACCTGGAAACTTTTTACGCCTTGTTAAACTTCCTTGATAAAGGTTTGGAAAAAATCACTTTTATGATTTGAGGAACTAGAAATTTAGACCTGGTAATAATAGTGCCCATTCGAAAAGGTAAGAATTTAAACTAGTAACGTTGACCATTAATATCAGAGCAAACAGTTTTCTGGAATGAAAAAGTTTCGTGCAAAGAAATTTATTTTTCACCCATTTATTCTTCAAAAAACCTAGGTAATTGCATGGGTTTGTAGGTAATACTAATATTTCTCATTGTATAAATTAGAATATTTTTGGCTACAAGTCACAGAACACACAGCCCTTACTGATTTAAGTAATGAATGGAACTTATTGGGTGAGACAGCTGCAAGTCCAAAAGGAAGACATACTTCAAGGCTAGTTTAATTGAGAGGCTCAGTTACACAAGTACTTAATTTCTTTTTTCTCTGGTCACATTCTTACTTGGTACCTATGTGTCCATACCTGAAACACTGAACATCAGGGAATAAGACTGGGCAGGTTAACTGAGGCCTGAGCCACGTGTCCAACCCTTAGGCCCAGGGTAGAGGTGTGTTCTTTCAAAGGTTATAGGCTCTGTGGAGAGGGGTAGAGAGCAGTCAAGGACAACAACAAAACGAGACTAGTTAAGAGAAGTCGGGGTGGGTGCCAGAGAGGCAATCTCTAGGTCACCCTAGACAAACACTTCCGTATAAAGTAAATCCTCAAATACAAAGAAATCAGTATTTTAGAAAGAAGGCTTTACAGTTGAATAGTTGCTCTGTGCTAAATAAGTTTCTTGGTCCCCATGTGTGGGTGGAAGTGGTCTAGTCCATTAGGCAAACACCTGTTTGTGTGGGCCGTCTTGCACAACATGGCTTTGAAATTACTTCAGTTTTAATGCTCCAGAGGCATCACTTATCTTTTAAAGAACGCAGGAGGCACTGTCCTAAGTTGCTGGTAGAAATGCACACATGTTCAGTCACTTTGGAGGGGAATTTGGCATTCTCTAACGAAACTAGACATTTTAACTTTTTGACACATCAATCCTACTACTAGGAGTTCTAAAGTCATACCTCAAGTTCCACTCCTAGGTTTATACCCTTCAAATCTATTGACATGAGTTTTAAATATGGAGATTAAATGTCCATAATCTCAACTCAGCTCTGCCTCTGACTTCATGAGATGGCAGCCCCCGTGGCTGCTGCTGTGAAGTGAGGAGCCTGGAGCAGAGGACAGCCCTGCTGATTGAAGGCCAGCTGTGTGCCAGGCGCTGTGCTCCTTGGGCTGTGTGTGTGGTTTGCAGCCCTCCCCTGCAGAGCGTTTACGCTGCCCCCATCTCACAGGTGAGCGCGGAGAGGCCCCGGGAGGCCTGGCGATCCTGCAGCCCTCCAGCTAGGAGAGCCCAGGTCTGCCTGACTGTAAAGCCTGCAGTCTTCCTAACACGTTATGTTGCTTCCAGAGGGTGCAGAGATCTAAAGTGGTTTACCAGAGTATGTGATTCTTTACTCTTTTTTAAAAATAAAGTTTATTGAGGTAACAGGCTAATAACATACTTTAGGTGTACGATTTTGTAATTCACCATCTGTATCTACTATGTGCTCATCCCCCAAAGTCCAGTCTCTTTGCACCACCATATATTTGACCTCCTTGTGTTCTTTTGTTTTTATAAGCAAGAAGAGGGTCGTCTTTCTGTGCCTAGCACAGCCATGGCTCGTGGTCCCAAGAAGCATCTGAAGCGTGTAGCAGCTCCAAAGCATTGGATGCTGGACAAACTGACTGGTGTGTTTGCTCCTCGTCCATCGACCGGTCCCCACAAGCTGAGAGAATGTCTCCCTCTCATCATTTTCTTAAGGAACAGGCTTAAGTACGCGCTAACAGGGGACGAAGTAAAGAAGATCTGCATGCAGCGGTTCATTAAGATCGATGGCAAGGTCCGAACCGATATAACCTACCCCGCGGGCTTTATGGATGTGATCAGCATCGACAAGACCAGAGAGAATTTCCGCCTGGTCTATGACACCAAGGGTCGCTTTGCTGTTCATCGTATTTCCCCTGAGGAGGCCAAATACAAGTTGTGCAAAGTGAGGAAGATCTTTGTGGGCACAAAAGGAATCCCTCACCTAGTGACCCACGATGCTCGCACCATCCGCTACCCTGATCCCCTCATCAAGGTCAACGACACCATTCAGATTAATTTGGAGACTGGCAAAATTACTGATTTCATCAAGTTTGACACCGGTAACCTGTGTATGGTGACCGGAGGTGCTAACCTGGGAAGAATTGGCGTGATCACCAACAGAGAGAAGCACCCTGGTTCTTTTGACGTAGTTCATGTGAAAGATGCCAACGGCAACAGCTTCGCCACCAGGCTCTCCAACATCTTCGTTATCGGCAAAGGCAACAGATCGTGGATTTCCCTTCCCCGTGGAAAGGGCATCCGCCTCACCATCGCTGAAGAGAGAGATAAGAGGCTGGCGGCCAAACAGTGGGCGAAGTGAGCCTAGGTGGCTTGAGTAGAAGAATCTTTGTACAATTAAAGATAATTCAGCATGAAAAGAAGATGATGGGGGGAATGCACATGCTCACTAACGCACTAATGATCCATAACCTAAATTCCCCTCCCTTTTCCTGTGGGACTTCATAGCTAAATGAGTGTGAGAGTCCCTTCCCTTACAGTCATTCTCACTCAGCCTCCCTTTTTTTATACACTCCAGGGTTAGTTAATTGCACTTTTAAGTTTGTAACCAGCTATCTGCTCCTGCAAAACTCTTTTTTTTATTTGGTTATTCCCTTTTAGTCACGTCTTCCTTCGTATCTCATAGCTGCATAGACAGTTTTCTACATATATTTAAGTTTGTAGGTTTGTTGCAAAGTAAGTTTTGTTTTGAATGTTTATGTAATTGCAGTTGAAGTGTTATAGATTTTAGTTACTGTATTAATATTCGTTTATTAAATGTAACTGGTTCCAGGTACATGGGAACTCTACTATCTTAACAGTTTTTCTGTAGATGTAAAATTATTTTAAAAAATAAAGCTTATTAAAAAATACATGTGTGCAAAGATGAGAGGTCTGTGATAAAAATATGCTATTTAAACTGGTGAGTTAGTGTATTTTATCACCTTTTATATTGAAGCTAAAATGGGGAATAAAATGTGACATATATCTTTCTTAGTTTTAAAAATCCCAATAACTCTTATGTTAAAAGTCTAAAATATTCCATAGACATTATAAGTTCATCATAATTTATGAATTTATTTTTAACTACTAGGAGCAAAGAAATCTTTGCCTTGTTTAAATAAAGTACAGCTGAATAGGAAGCTCATTCCTGCTCGTCTCCCCAAACTTTGTCAAGCTGAAATACCTTTATTTTTGATCTTAACATTTATAACATAAATAATTGATGAGCACAGGAATTCTGGGAATAGCTGAATAGCTTATGCTCTGCACTAAGCTGTTTCTAAATGTCCTTAGGCATCAACTCAAAATGTACACCAAAAAGCTGTCAGCTGGTGTCGGGAAGTGAGGCTGCATGGATTAGGATTGTGAATAAAGAAATGCAGCAAGAAGGAGTTGTCAGTTCTCCTGTGCGTAGGGACAGTGTTGTCGAGCAGAGGTCTACAGTTTATTCATCCTGCATCATTGAGACATCATGCCTGTTGAGTGAAAACTCAACTGTAGGGACAGAGAGGCCCGTTTCTCCATCCCTACAGCCTCTGTCCACCACCATTCTACTTCCCAATTTTATGAGTTTGTTTTAGATACTTTTTAACATTTTTTAAAAATCGATGAAGGGGGTGAGAGAGAAACATTGAACTGTTAATTCCATCCATCCATGTACTCACTGGTTGATGCCCACAGGCGCCCTGACCCTGGATAGAACCCGCAACCCCAGTGCATCAGGATGATCTCTAACCAAGCAGGATACCTGGCTTGACTTTTAGATAACTTCATATAAGTGGAATCCTGCAGTATTTGTCCTTAGTTGAAATTCCCTTTTTCTAAAGGCTGAGTACTACTCCTTGACTGTTTCCTAGTGACTATAAGGATCTTGAGGTTAGGAACCGGAATTTGTTTCTCATCACAACGCAATGTTGAATGAATGAGTGAATTAATTGATTATGGCTTTCCTATATTACAGTACGAATGTTTGCATCTTCTCTCCCAGTAAACCAGTAATAAGTCCTGCAGGGAGTTGAGGAGAAAGGATTGTATCATTTGGGAGACTTTTCAAACTACAGATGCCTTCACATTCTGGTGTGTGCCCTCCACTCCCCGTCTTTGAGGAGCATCCTCAGGAAACCACTGCTAATGATTGACAGGATGTTGTATAACTCTAGTAAAGCTGTTGAACAAAAGGTTGAGTAACATTACTGAGCTTCTTGAGGTAAGTACAGTGGCTTCTCCTTGCTCTTTGCCTGTTGTCTAACGGTACCTGGCACATTGTGGATGTACAATACTTACTGGTTCAATGAATTAAAGGTTTTTTATCATGTAGTCTCTAATTCATCGGTTTGACCACTTTAAGGTATCTCTGGATTCCACTGTCTTGATTGAACTCTGCCGTTCATCTTACAGTTGCTCTTTGGAAAGTTTGTTTTCCTCTGGCTGAACTTAATATTTTTCTCTTTGGTGTTTGTAAGTTCTGCTGTGATATATCTAAGAATTTTTTTGTTTGTTTGTTTGTACTTGTTCAGGGCTCATAATGCTGCTTGTATCTGTAGCTTGATATCTTTCATCAGTTTTGGGAGATTCTCAACCATTATCTCCTCAAATATTGCGTCATCTCCATTCTCTATTTCCACTCCTTTAGAACTTCACTTATATAAAATTTAGTTCCCCGACATCTATTTCTTTCTCTTCCATGGTTCCCATCCTTTTGTCTCTCAGTGCTTCATGCTAGATACTTTTTTTCTAGCCTATTTTGTGATTGATTAATTCCCCAGAAGTCTAATACAAGGTTAATTACACCCATGTATTGAACCTTTTTTATTTATTTTTAGAGAGGGGAAGGGATGGAGAGAAACATCCATGTGCAGTTGCCTCTTGCACGCCCCCAACTGAGAACCTGGCCCGCAACCCAGGCCTGAGCCCTGAGTGGGAATCCAACCGGCGACCCTTTGGTTTGAGGCCAGCACTCAATCCACTGAGCCCCACCAGCCACGGCCGAACTCTTAATTTGGGTTCTTTTTAGTCCTATAATTACTTGTGTTTTTTGTGAAATTACTTGTGTTTTACAGTTTACAGTTCTTTGCTGAGTTCTAGAGTCTTTAACCTTCTTAAACAATCAGCACGGTTATTTTTCCACTTTTGAGTAAGAACTCCATTCTTTTGATCCCTTACGGGTCTGCTGTTGTGTCGGGTTTCCCTGGGTTTCAACTGACTTGGCTTCTCATAAGCTTATTTTTTATTGTGTGTAAGACATTTTATGTTAATTATTGCAGAAATAATTTGAATATATTAACGCTGTATTTTGCTGGAGAAGATTTATGTACATTTGCTTTTGGCAGGTGGTTAGGGACACTAGCTATTGCAGATAAGGTTACTCTAATATGGCCCTTGAGATGACCGGAAGCTGGGCTTCAGTTCATCCTTATTCCTGGGATCGAGCCCTTGAACTTCCCATCTCAGAGTGGGCGTTTTTTTCCCCCCTCCAGAGCTCACCTTCATTGCAGGTTCCCCCTCGCAAGGTTGTCAAAGTATCTGTTCAGCTTCTCCATCTTTCAGTTGCTTTTTTTTAGGAATTAGCAGATGCCCTGGGAGAACAGTAGACCCAAAGCTGGATGCACCTCCTTGGGTTTAACTAATTCTTTACTGTGTTCCCCCAATGCCTTCACACAAATTAGTTTTGTATTTTGTGCAGCTTTTCAAAATGTTCTCAGTGAAAGAGTTGTTCCCCATTCCCTAGTCTGCCATTTTTAGAACATAATTCAATCTTTATTAAAATTGTATTTTTACCAGGTAACCTTGTGAAAAAAACCCAAATTTTTGTTTTTAAATGTCATTTTCTGTCTCTTTACTCATTGGTGAAAATGCTATTAAAGCCCTTTCTAAATAACTGAGAAGCAAAGCAGATGGCAAAACAAGATAAAGGAAAAGATCTGGCCAACTCACAAACTATAGTTAACCTGAACAGGGGAGATTAAAAAACATTCTCAAATGAGGCTGAACAGATAATCTTTTAAAAAGGCATTTATATATAACTTGTTTTCTGAAGCAAAATTCCCTTTGTGCAAAGCATCAAGCAATGAGGCATTTCACCAAGAAGGACAGGGTTCTGCTGTTTACCTCCCCAGTGACCTGGGCTCGTGCACACCATATTCTATACCAGGCGGGTAGGCAGCACCTGATTGAAGGTGCAAGCAAGGCAGGCGGCCCCATTCGCGGAAAAGGTGATCGCCAAGTCAGGGACCAGCGCTAAACACGAGTCAGCCTGGGCCAGAGTCATGAAGCAAAGTGGGCACAAGCTAAGGAAGCGAGGTGCAAGTCTGCTGGCCACGGTGCCTGGGGGTCAGGTCAGCTGCCTCGGGCAGGGCAGTGGCCCCCTGGAAGGGTCCAGGCAGACACTAGCACGTTCTGCTTCCATTTCCTCCTGTCCTGAGCGAGCCTTGTTCTGAATGGGACCTTCCCCAAGGTATGCCGGGGAAGAGAGTTTCACTCCGGTTCCTATGGGCAGAAAGGGAAGTGGAATTTTATACCTCTCCCGACCGGCAATTACAGCCTCCAGAAACAAAGCCCGGGTGGCATTCCCCCAGAGTTGATCCGGTTTCCCTCCCCGGGCTGAGGACAACCTCGGCGCAGGGATAATGGTTGTGGAGTGTCTGCCGCTGTGCTGATCTGAAAGGGAAAGAGGAATGAAGTGCGCACACACAAAAGCGTAAGGAAGAAAGTCGAGGCAGGTTGCAGGTTTCTCTCCGCCTCCGATAACCACGGCTGGCTCTGCCTGGTGCATCCCAGCGGCCGAGGCCCCTTCCCCCCCCCGGGAGCCTGGCAGGAGAGGTGGATGAAAACCTGCTGCCCCCTCCCGCCGTTCCTCCAGACTCCTGTCTCATCTGCCTTCACCTAACGGTTCAGAGAGTCTCCAAGTGAAAAGAGAACTTAGCCTTGGCTGGTGTGGCTGAGTGGGCTGGAGCGGCACCCTGTAGACCGAGAGGCTGTGGGTTCGATGCTTGGTCAGGGCACACGCCTGGGGTGCGGGTTTGATTCCGTCAGGGCACACGTCTGAGTTGTGGGCCCTGGTATTTCTCTTCCTCTCTAAGCATGTCCTTCAGTGAGAATGTAAATAAATACATAAATAGTTATAAAAAAGGGCAGGCCAGGGTGGGGCAGCACTTGGTGAGGGACCTAGTGACAGCGTCCTGGTCAGGCCCTTCCCCAAAGCAGGAATTCCTTCTGAACTTCAAAGCGTTCTTACCCACCGGCTGACAAGACTCTCCGTAAGCACCATCAACGGCAGAAATATGGCCAGGGCCTGCCTCCCACTTCCATTTTATTATATATTAAAACAGGCAGAACGAAAGCGCACCCTGAGCAGGGTAATTCTCCACCCATCCCCGTCCCTGTCCTTGTGGCCGCTGTTTGTAAGTTTCTGCGTATTGTTTTAAGAGCGCTTTGTGCACGGACTCACCTGTGTGGAGCAGTCTTCCGTCAACCAGCACCAAACACGTCCTTTAAACAAATGACAAGATTGTATGTTAAGTTCCATGTTGAGCACTCCATATCACAGACAATAGTATGTAAAATTGCACTGGAATCTGTGTGGATTTCCAAGGGGTAAGTCCTTATATCAGCTTCTAGAAGGTCACAGAATGAGTTGAACTCTTCTGCACAAGGATGGTTCCGCAAGAATTTCACAACCGTGTTCTCTAACTTGCCTTCCAGCTCTCTATCTTCCCTGTCGCCCACCCCTCTACCACACAATTCATTTTGGCTGAGGGTTTTGAGCCCCTTTATTCTTCCTATGGCATTGTGGAATTAAAATAATTATACATATTTCTTGCCAAAGAAAAACTTTCACAGTAATAAGCTTGCTTTGAGTTAAATGAAACAAGTTAATAACTTTTAGTGAAAGGTTTGCTTGGTTCTTGCTATTAGAGCCTTATTATGTATGCCATTATATAGCATTTATTATGCTATTACAGCATTGTGTTACATAGAATGTTAGCTTCTAGAGATGCGGTATCTCAGTTATCTGAAGTTCAGTT